GCGGTGGCAGCCGTGGGAAGGGGGGTTGTTTCCTGGCCACCTCTCCGCGTGGAGCTGGTGCAGGGATTCCTCCCGTGTGCCGGCAGTGGGAGGTGTTTGGCGTAGGTACTTGGAGCAGTTCCAAGAGAGGCAGGCACCAGCTGGAAGCAGGGAGTGGGGCTGAGGGTGGAAAAGCTGTGGGCAGGCAGAGGGGGGTGCGTGGCTCTGCTGTGGGAGAAGGTTCCAGCTGCAGAGCCATTGCCAGTGCCGGGGTGGGCGTCAAGGGTGGGCTCTCCGGTGCGACACCGCCGAGAAGGTGGTGGGGAGCGCTCAGTACGGCCCTTGAGGGCAGAGAGCTCTTTGGCTTTTGGCAGTGTGCCAGGGCTCCGGTGGGGCGTTAGGTGTCACCAGGGGCTGTGGTGGCCACTCCTGGGTCAGTGCAGCTGTCCCTGCCCTTCTGCAGCGGCGCCGCTCAAAGAGCCCCAGTGGAAGGGCTTCACCACGGCCCCCGGTGCCAGCACTTGTCACACCCATCTCTTTTCACCCAGGTAACCTGTGCATGGTGACCGGCGGTGCCAACCTGGGCCGCATCGGGGTGATCACCAACCGGGAGAGACACCCCGGGTCGTTTGACGTGGTTCACGTGAAGGACGCCAACGGGAACAGCTTTGCCACCAGGCTCTCCAACATCTTCGTCATTGGCAAAGTGAGCCTGCGCGGACGCTGGGCGGGGGCTCTCCTGCTTCTGGGGGTGCTGGCTGACGCCAAGGGGTGTCAGTGTCTTCTGCAGGCAGCTGCCTTCCCACACAGGGCAGGCAATCAGCTCTGGCGCCGTTCCCTGTCCTTATGCTCGCTCCAGAAGGGGGAAGCATCTGTAAATTTAGGAATTTGGATGTTTTCGGGAAGCAGCAGCCCTGTGGCTCTCTAACCCTTGCGAGCGCTGGGAGCCAAGCAGCGCGCAGATCCTGACGTGGGCTGAGCAGCTGCTGTGGCTGAGATTGCCCCTCCATTGCCTCCGCTGTCCGCCATCCCCAAGGGGCTCCGTTGTCCAGGCTGGGAAGGGGTGGGGTTGGGCCTCAGTGCATCCTTCATGGACGTGGCTGAAAGAGGCGGGTGTAGGCCTGTGGGCCTCCAGCCCCTTCCTGAGGGGCTTCTGGGCCGGTGCCACAGCCACATGTACGTGGCCCAGCATGGATGGGGGTGGCTTCGGCTGGTTTTGCCGCCCGAGAGGGAGAGCTCTGGCCCTGTTTGGGCTTCATGACATGAGGGGGCTGCTTCTGCCTCGTTTCAGGGCAACAAGCCGTGGATCTCCCTGCCCCGTGGGAAGGGCATCCGCCTGACCATTGCTGCGGAGAGAGACAAGAGACTGGCAGCCAAAAAAAAAGGGCAGCCAAGCAGAGCAGCGGGTGAACTACGGCGGGGGCCGGCCCTGTTCCTGTCACTGTACTAATTAAACCATAAAGGAAATGGCTGCGTGACAGGCTGGGGAGGGCCGTGCGGTGCCAGCGCGAGGCCTCGCACTGCTCCCCGGAAGGGGCTGCTGATCTGGGGAGACTCCTGGCAATGCCACTGCCAGAGCCATCTTCGGGAAAGGCAAGGCAAGGTGGAGCGGTGGAAGAACCTCAGGCTGCTCTGTCCCTGGGAAGGGATTGGCATAAATGCTCCCGGACGTCATTCCCAGGGCCATGCTGGAGGAGGGATGAGGAGGCTGTATGACCAGCGCCAGGCGTGGGTGCTGCATTACCCAGTCCATTGGGCACCGAGGGGCTCGGGCTCCGCATCCCAAGTGCCTGCACCCATCTTTCTCCCAAGATGGCACAGTCGCGCCAAGATGGCCTTTCCCCTCCCCGACGACCACCCGCGTACACTGCGCAGGGCTGAGCAGGAAAAGCCGGAGGCTTCCTTGGCTCTCGGTTTGTGGCCAATGTGCTCCTGGAAAGCTGTGGGAGGTGAAGGGGCGCGCACAGCCAGCGATGCCCTGACGCCGGCACCGGCAGGGAGGTTGCTCCTGAGGACGAGGGGCTGCAAGGAGCGGGGAGAACCGACCCCATTTACACTAGACGCGGAACGTCCCCAGCCCTGGAATCCCCGGCGGCGCGGGGGAAGGGAGCTGGAGGGGATGCGGCCGGGGGCAAGGCTTTCCCCAGCCGCTGCTGGGAAACCCCCAAGACAGACATTGCCTCCAAAGAGGGGCACCGTGGGGGGAAGGGGCCCAGCTGGGCGGGAGCGGGAGCACCGCCGGCACGGGCCGAGGCCGAGGGCGC